GAGGAGGAGGAGGAGGAGGAGGAGGAGGAGGAGATTAGATTTATACCCCAACCTTCACTTGGCATCTCTGAGGGGATTACAATCTCCTTCCCTTCCTGTCCGCACAACAGACACCCTGTGAGGCAGGTGGGGCTGAGAGAGCTCTGAGAGAACTGCTTTTGAGAGAGCAGCCCTGAGAGCACTGTGACTGAACCAAGGTCATCCAGCTGGCTACATGTGAAGGAGTCGGGAATCAAACCCGGTTCTCCCTGATTAGAGTCTGCCACTCTTAACCACTACCCCAAATTGGCTGTCGTTAAATTCAAGTCCAGTAGCACCCTACAGATCGACAAGATTTTTTTTTGCGGGGGGGGATAAGCTTTAGTGAGTCAAAGCTCCTTACACCAGATATGTAATCACTCACATATGATTCGTGATTTAAATAATTGCCTGCTGAGCAGAGCAGTTTTGTATCAATGTCAGGGAAGCAGTAGACATCAATTGCCCTGCGTGATAACCCACATACAGGAAAAGCAAACTGCACTCTATTGCACAGTTAGGAAGATATATGATGAAATAGGTTTTCGAACATCCACGAACAGATCAATGAACTGTTCAACTGAGTATCGAAAAATCGGTTTCCTGCAAATGGCGAACACAGCACAAGCTGAACTGGTGTGTGTTCGAGTACCGCTACTGCAGAGCAGTTTTCTCACCTCACTCCTTCCATGGCAACTGTCAGAATCGGACCCTAGTGTTGGGGTCGGTCTAGATACACACTGGTGTTCTGATGTACATAGCCCCGCTTTTCCCTGCTTGCTCACATATAATCCTGGAAGCTTTATCTTTCTGTTCCCATACTGGGCTTTTGTTCTCATGCTGACTGTAACACCTGCTAGCAATGAACCAACTCAGATACACGTCTTCCTCTGACATTCTCAGGGAGGGGGGTGGTTGATACATGCTTGACTGTCTATGGTAGATAGTGCGCTTGTAACACTGTCATGAAAAGCCTCCTCCACACTGGCCAGGAGATTGTTCGCTTCTCATGATGTTTTTTGGCCATGCAGGAAGTGTATTAGATAAACATTCTCACGGTAGACATTGTATTATAGTAACCTGTCTTTATGCTATGTAACCATGACGTGTGAACGAAGGCTGTCCCAGAGTTCTCTTGAGGACACAAGTTGTATTGTATGTCAGTTCTGTCAAAGACCTTTGATTCACCTGCAACTCTTCTGATTGCTAATAAAACCCATAAAACGAACTTATTGCGTCTGAGAGTTACTGCAGAGTCTTACAGAAACCCAAAACTCCCCTTTCCACTGAAAAGTCCTCAGGGTGGTTCACAACAAGTAAATATATGTGGTGGTGGTGGTGGTGGATGTTCCTTCGCTGGACGTTTTCAAGCGGAGGCTGGACGACTATCTTTCGGGTATGTTGTAGGTATGTAGGGCTATCTTTCAGTATACTCCTGCAGAGTGCAGTGGGTTGGACTAGATGACCTGCAAGGTCCCTTCCAACTCTAACATTCTATGATTCTATATATATGATTTATATCACATATAAATATATGATTTTTCTAATATAATTGTTTGGGAATAAGGCAGTTGGCCACTAGAAGGAATCTGTAGCAAGAGGTGAGAATTTGTTGTTGAAGGCTAGCACAGCCGGAGTTCATTAGCTGTTGTTGATTTTCCGGGTTGTCTGGCCGTGGTCTTGGCAATGTAGGACCTCATGTTTCGCTAGTAGCTGTGATTGGCATCCTCAGAGGTATAACACAGAAAGACGTAGTACTCTCTGTGTCAAGGTGAGAAGAAAAATGGTAGGCAGGTAATTTATATCTACTCAGGAAGGTGGGGTAGGGCTGAGTCATTATCTTGTAGGATTCTCCAGGCTGTGAAAACATGCTAATGGAGGAGCTTTCCTGAGGAGGTTCTTTTGCATATGGATTGTTTCCTGAGGAGGTTTCCTGTTTCCTGAAGAGATTCTTTTCCATGTGGACTGGCTGTTGAAATTCTAATCTTATCTGTAGTGCCAGTCACAGCTACTGGTGAAACGTCAGGTCCTACAATGCCAAGACCACGGCCATACAATCCGGAAAACTACAACGGATAAGGTGAGAGTTTAATACACAGCACTGATGGACACCTCTCAACAGCAACAGCTGAGCGATGGGAGGAATTCCCCCAAATACTGAGAAACTGGTGGATAATGTATGTGTTAAAGTATTTTATTCCACCACTGAGAATTTAGCAAAAGTTTAAGATCTTTGTAAAAATTTTGATTAGTGAGCCTGATTGGTCTGTTATCTGGTAGGTTGATTTGCCAAATTTTAAAGATGTTGTATTCCTTCCTAATCACGCCCCCCCCCCCCAACTGTAAATATGTTCTTTGACACCCTGACCTCTAAGCAACCATATCTCAGTCAAGGGTTGGTGCCATTCTTATCTTCCACGGAAAAGTGTAAATGGTTTGTTTTCCTTATGTTCCTCTTAGGAAGGTAGAATGTACTCTAAAGTCTAAAGGGAACGTGGTCTGTTTCAATGCCTTTTGCAAGCCACAAGTGAACTCTAAAGGTGTTTAAAGGGCTTGCGAACCCTTTAAACATTTTCTCCAAGCCATGAAATCACCCAGAAGGTGTATAAAGGGACTGCAATCCCTTTAAACACCCTTTAACGTCAGCTATTCGGTGGTCCCAAAAATTCCTGACTATTTTTGGGATATTTCGGACTCAGCTATTTCAGCTAGCTGAAAAAAGTCAGAGATCTATATCTGGCTGAAAGGATATCCACAAAATACCAATAAGGTATTTTTTGGGTATTTTTTAGGCTCTGGTGGCTCAAGTGGTTAAGACACTGAACTGCAGGCTGTGGAAGGTCAGTAGTTCAGCAGTTCGAGACCCGGGTGCCGCATGACGGAGTGAGCTCCCGTCTCTAGTTCCAGCTCCTGCCAACCTAGCACTTCGAAAGCAAGAAATGGCAAGTAGATAAATAGGTACCACTTCGGTGGGAAGGTAACAGCGCTCCGTGCACCTTGGTGTTTAGTCATGCCGGCCACATGACCATGGAAACGTCTTCGGACAGCGCTGGCTCTTCGGCTTGGAAACGGAGATAAGCACCGCAACCCTAGAGTCAGACTCGACTGGCTTTCGAGCAAGGGAACCTTTACCTTTACTAAGGCTCTAGTCGGACTCGACTGTGCAACTGAACAACAACAAAAAAACATCACTTTTCTTGCTGAGGGAGCATGTTTTTTCCCTGTGGATAGTCCAGGGTAGCCCACTTTCATCAGACCTCAGAAGCTAAACAAGGGGCTACCAAGGAATTCTAAGGTCGCTACGCAAAGGCAGGCAATGGCAAACCGCCTCTGAACATCTCTTGCCTTGAAAACCAAAAGGCCACCGTAAGTCCACGGTGACTCATACTAGGTTCAACTGTTGGTGAGCTCTGATTGCATAAGGTTTGCCTTTTATCTTTGACAGCTAATCAACAGAGTTACAGAAATATTAAGTCTATTGCCTTTCAATCAAGATTAAGAGTTAAGTTGGGGCTTCTTATCTTGCTTTAGAAAAGATAAGGGGCACACATCAGGTGTGTTCTTCATGCACCTCATTGATTATCTCTTCCATGGTTAAGAGTCAATTGTTTATCTGGGTGATAATCACATGTTCAAATTAGAGGAGATTTAGAATAAGACAGGAGTAATTTTTTCATCATCATCATCATCATCATCATCATCATCATCATTCAGTTTATTGATTGCTCAATCCTGCAGAGCTTGCTGGCTCTGAGCGATTTACAGTTACTCATTTTTCACGAGGGACTAACAATGCAATGTGGGGTAAGGGAGGACAACATATATACATCGATTGCACACATTCACAGCCAACGAGGGTTCCATTCAGATGCAGATGAGATGTGATCCGGAATGGCATTTTTCCTCGGCCGAGTTTGATGGCGTCAGCTTTTCTCCAGACTCCTTGAGTTGTAGTGCCACACTGCCATCGCCTGGCCGGACGGCCCATTACAGGCTTTATCTTAACGCCGAGGAGATCTCTCTAGGCTTTCCATCATGCGAGCTGGACTTCCGTTCGCCGGCTAACACCACTCCACCCCACAAGGGGGGGGTCAGTGTGCCCACTCTTTCTAAGGAGTGGTACCCATTTTATCTACTTGCCGAAGCTTTCGAACTGCTGGGTAGACGGCACAGATGAGAAAAGCACATCAGATTTCTTTGGATGGAACTCTCAGGAGAGATCAATAAAGATTTGTGTGCGTATGGGTGTGAGACTCGGGGTTGCAGGGTCTGTTCTGGTTAGTATTTGGATACTGGTTGGAGCGCCAAGGAAGTCCAGGGTTGCTACCCACAGGCAGACAATGGCAAAACACCTCTGGATTTCTCTTGTCTTGAAAACCCTCTGGGGTCACCATAATTCAGCCGTGACTTGATGACACTTTCCACTACTACCACAATCAATAGGATGAGGAAACATCTAATAAAATGTAATAGGACTGTAGAACAGGGGTGTCAAACTCATTTGTTATGAGGGCCGGATCTGACATAAATGCGACCTTGTTGGGCCGGGCCATGCGTGACATAAAATGTAATGCCGGGTAGCAGAGATATAAACTTTATAAAGGACACAAACACAAAAGGTTGTGGTTTTTTAACTTAAAATAAAAACATGCTTAAGACATCAGCACTCTTGCAATATTTTATTTATTTAACGGTGTCTGATAACTGACACCTTTTGCTTTGAATTGTTGCATCAAAATGTCTGTGCTGTTGCAGTCTTGAGTATGCTGTTCAGGGGTGTCTCTGTAAGCTGCAAACCTACGATGATGCAACAGCACCAGAACTGCAAGAAGAAGGAGAAGACAGCCAGTTCCACTGCGGGCCTGATAGAAGCCGTCTGGGGGCCTGATCCAGCCCCCGGGCCACATGTTTGACACCCCTGTAGAAATTGAATTCAAGGTGATGGTATTAAACCTGATTTCTGTCACAATTTAGGCATGGGCATATCACCACCCTTTGGAAATTTTCTAATCTCATCAAAACCTCCCTTATCCCTTAGTATGAATCAAGGCAAATTCTGCAAAACAAGACTCAGATTGTGCTATAGCAAAAAAAGAAGCTTTTATTTGATGTATGTTTTGAGGCAACATTGCAGAGATGAGGGAAGAGGGGGACGCATGAAGGAAAATATGGGTTCCATGCAGAGCTGAACTGAACGGCACTTCCTTGCAGAAATTTCCCTTGGACGTCTGTGGATCTTGAATGATCATTTCCATGAATTCCTGAACTTTTACTTCATATTTGGTATCTGATTTCCACATTTTCATATAGGACACCATGTGGTCATTAATGTCTAAGGGTCACTTTGATATTGAATGTGGTGGCTGACACACAGGGATCTAGCATTCGACTGCGTAGTGTGGATTGACTTGGACAGCTCCGTCGTGCCAGTGATCACTCTGAAATATCTGATAGACTTTGAGAGATCACAGCCAACTGGGCTCTGCCTCCGACCTCTCTCAAAATCAGTGCCGTCAAGAGATGCTAGGCAGTTTAAAGCACTCTGGCTACAAAAAAATAATAAAGCTGCATATTCACAATCCGAACTTAAAATTCATATTTTTAAGCAACTGAAACCAAAACCCTAACCTAGCCCATAACATTGTTCTCTCCAATGTATATGGGATACTTTGGAGGGAGATAGCTGTTATTTTGTTCACCCTCTCAGAGAAAGCATCGCATTGTGCATATTTTAATGAGCAGGAGACAAAAGAGTGCAAGCCTGAAGCTGCTAAAGGTGCACCCTTGGATGCGCAAAGGAACGCCAAGGTGCACCCTTGGACATGCAAGAGAAAGCTAAGGCGGATTGGGCCGGGACCCGTTGCTCATTCATTTCTTCATTCCAAAGATAATGAGCTCCCCCAAAGCATTAACCTTGTGATTTGCTACTGGGTGAGCGTGAACAGCATGTGTAAGGTGTCACACCTTGGGCTGGGTGCGTAACAAGGAACATGTAGCCGCAGCCGCCGCCGCAGCCACTGCGACAACATTGAACATACCAGACTGGGGAAGAGGGCGGAGATTTACAAGACATTCCAGAGTAAGGAACTCGGGAAGGTGATTTGCAGACAGGGACACAGGTTGGAGCATGGCCTGGTGTTGCATAGACGGGGATACAGGTTGGAGCTTTGCCCGGAGTCGTGCAGACAGGGACACAGGTTGGACCTTGACCCGGAGTTGTGCAGACAGGGACACAGGTTGGAGCTTGGCCTGGAGTTGTGCAGACAGGGACACAGGTTGAACCTTGACCCGGAGTTGTGCAGACAGGGACATAGGTTGGACCTTGACCTGGTGTTGTGCAGACAGGGACACAGGTTGGACCTTGACCCGGAGTTGTGCAGACAGGGACATAGGTTGGACCTTGACCCGGAGTTGTGCAGACAGGGACATAGGTTGGACCTTGACCTGGTGTTGTGCAGACAGGGACAGAAGTCGGAGCTTGGCCCGGAGTTGTGCAGACAGGGACACAGGTTGGAGCTTGGCCTGGTGTTGCACAGACGGGGACAGAAGTCGGAGCTTGGCCTGGCGTTGTGCAGACAGGGACACAGGTTGGAGCTTGGCCTGGTGTTGTGCAGACAGGGACACAGGTTGGAGCTTGGCCCGGTGTTGCACAGACCGGGACATAAGTTGGAGGATGGCCTGGTGACGTGCAGACGGGGACATAAGTTGGAGGGTGGCCTGGTGTCGTGCATATGGGGACATAAGCTGGGGCATGGCCAGGTGCGACACAAACAGGGATGTAAGTCGGACCCTGGCCAGGCGTTGCACAGACAGGAACACAAACTGGACCTTTGCTAGGGGATGTACAGACGGGGACATAAGCCGGACCTTGGTCGGGGGTTTTGCAGATGGGGACGTAAGCTGGGGCACTGCTCGGTGATGTACAGACAGGGACGCAAGCTGGACCTTGGTCGGGTGTTTTGCACACGGGGACACAAGTTGGTCCTTGGGCTTGGCTCGGTGTCGAAGATTTGATGGTCTTTGTGGGAAAGTTGCCACATCCCTCGGTGCACACCACTTTGCTCCGTCCGACGGCCACTTTAGCGCAAACCTCCGTCGTATCAGCTGCCTTCACGGCCGCCTTGCTTGCTTTCGTGCCCGCTGTTTGGCTTCCAACGGCCGCAGTTTTAGATGCATCCATGGGTGCCGCTTGGCATGGTTCAATGCAGGGGGGCACGTCGGAGGACTTGTCGGCGTCCGCGTCCACATAGCTTATCGTGCTCCCTTTCACAAAAGAAGGAGGACCCACGCACGGTTGTTTGCACTGGTACGCCATCTTCCTGGAGATTAAAATTCAGCCTGCAAGGAGAACAGAGGAGGGTTTTTGCATTTGCCATTTTAACGAGACAATTCATGCAAACCTGAACAAAGGAGAGGCCGTGGCTCAAGGGTAGAGCATCTGCTTGGCCTGCAGAAGGTCCCAGGTTCAATCTCCACTTGAAAGGACCAAGCAGTAGGTAAGGTGAAAGACCTCTGCCCGAGACCCCGGAGAGCCACGGCCAGTCGGAGCACAGAATACTGACTTTGATGGAGCAACGGTCTGATCCAGGATAAGGCAGCTTCATGTGTCTTTGTGTGATCCCGGGACCACAGAAAGAAATTTTGCATTGAAATGTAATTATTTATTTATTCATTTATTTATTTGGACTTTTACCCCGCCCTCCCGCCGAAGCGGCTCAGGGCGGCTTACAACCATTTAAAACAACATACAATATAAAACCAGCACTTCTCTCCCTATATATAATTAAGTACTGAACATTCTATTTCGCAACATTCTAAATTTGGCCTCCTTAGTGTTAGGCCGGAAAAACTGCCACTCAGAAGAGACTGGCTGGGTTGACTGGCTGCTTTGTGTAGTCCCGCCCAGCGTTCCAAGTTTATTTGCATATGGAAGCTGATTGGACTACACTCCATTCCACACCTCAAACTCCCCCCCCCCCCGCAAGGCAGTTGGGATTTTCAGTTGCATAACATACCTCATAGGGGAGAGGAGAATGATGTCAGCTGCCCTTTCCCTAGGCAGAGGCTGTGGGGGGGGGGTTGTAAAACTTAAGACAGACAGGCAGATAAAGGTTGGCTGATGGTTGCCAACTTCCAGGATATTTTAGGGATGAAGCCTGCTGAGGGTGCGGTCTGAGGAGGAGGAAGAGGGGGACCTCAGACAGATACAATGCCATACTGCCCACACTCCAGACAAGCTGTTGCCAGTCTCCAGGTGACAGCTGGAGAGATCTTAAAGCTCTGGTGCTAATTCAAATTCTCTTCAACCCCCTGCTGTGCAGCTGACTTTCCCCTAGGGTTGCCAATCTCCAGGTGGGACCTGGAGATCTCCCAATATTACAATTGATCTCCAGATGACAGAGATCAGTTTCCCAGGAGAAAATGGATGCTTTGGAGGGTAGACCCTATGACCTCCAGTCGCCGGCCCT